GTGGTCTTGTGAGAGCAGAGGCGTGTATGCACGCGGGGACTTACGTGAGCTGCATTCCATATTACGACCCGCAGAGTCTACTTCAGAGTATTTATATTTCTCCTGTCCAAATTTGTATTTCGGACAGATGTAAATTATTTTACATTCCTAGTTGATGCTCATGCACTTATGACACCAGATTTTGGAATGATTATGGGTTGTTCTATATTGAATTCATTAAAAGTATTATTATTTACTCTGTAAATCCCCATTATTTACCATTTAAATTGAAGGAAAATATGATTTCAAAAATAATAAAAATGAGAACCCAATTAAGTAATTATTGTTGGTTTGCCTGGCAGTGGTGTCCGGCGCCATCACGACCTTTATTAGATTTTGGGTCGTGACAGGTTGAGACTATGAAGGACTCTTTGGATACGACTTGACTCTTTTACTACTACTTGAACTATTATTTGGTATGTTGATATCTTTCAAAAAATATTTATATTTTAAAATTTCAATTTCTAAACCTTTATTTTTCAATAATAATAATTTTTATAATAATGTAAGTGAAAATAATATCCTTAATTCAAAACTCATTTTAGTCGGCTATCTAAAATTTAAAAAATTCTTTAGCCAGTAAAATTTAAACCTTCTAGATAATTATAAATAATAATTAGATATTAATTAAGAAACATTACATGAAAAAGACTAATATTTTCTCAAATCTCGTAGTGATAATTTTATTTTTGCACCATTCTCATTGGTGTCATTGGAACTTAAAATAGCCACAACGCGAAATAATAACTCATATTTATGGTAAAACACAAAGGTTGACACAATATGAACGATTCTTTGGTTACGATGTCACTTTTTTATTACGACTTGAACTTTTATTTGATATATTGTTAGCTTTCAAATAATATTTCTATTTTGAAATTCTAATTTCTAAAACTTTATATATATTTCAATAATGATTATCTTTATAATGATGCAAGTGAAGATATTATCTTTAATTTAAAATCCACTTTAATCGGCTATCTATAAATTTAAATAATTCTTTAATGTGAAACTTTATTTCAGTATGACTCCATTTTGAGTTTATCGATATCTCTAGCCACATCTTTTGAATTTTGAATAACTTGTATATACATATTTTTTGTTCTTTAACTCATTAAATGTTAAATTAGTTGATTGTTATTATATAACATTGCATATATTATCTTAAAAATGTCAAGGAGTCTTTTCTCGACACTATACTTAGCTTAACCTCAATGCAAACTATTCAAATTGTATTTAAATTCAGATTCGAATATCATATCAGTTTGTTAGTAATAGTGATTCTTTTTAAAATGACACACAATGTAAATTAAAAAAATATATTCTAAGATATCCTTATCTTATAATCTATGTATTTGAGTTGAAAAAAATATTTAAAATTGAAGAGATCAGCTTTCAAATTTTTTATACTCAACAATGATGAAACAGAAGAAGAAATTAGTTGTCATCTCTTATTTATGGTATTTAGATTTTTTTTATACATTTCTTTCTATATTTATTTTTGTTTATCTTATGTCTTTAAATAGGTGCTCACCCAACCACTTAAATTAAAAAAAATTGAAGGATGTGTAATTTATATATAATTCATATATAATATGTGTATAATCGTGTGTTGTCAGTATATCATCTATGTATATTAGCTATAAAAAGTAAATAATAAATCTGGCTGGATATTTATGTAAATATTCCATAAGATTTTGGTTTCTTGATTTTATCCATGATATGACTTCTATTATAATAATTTTAAAACTCTCTACTAAAATTCAAAATATCTTATCTTTTTATTTTTAAAATTAGTATATATATTTTTTTTAAAATCCCATTTTGAAATAATTTTTTTACTTTAAAAAAAATTCACGTCATACCAATTGTTTTTTTAAAATATACTTTTTGTTACACTTAAAAATCGCTATAGAATCTATCAATTAGAAACCAATATCCCTCTTCTTTCACATAATTTAATGATTCTAAACTAATATTCTTCAACAAAAAAAATATTATACCCTTGCAATGTTGGCTTGACTGTAGCTAAATGAAGAGGTTTCAGCTTACACCCTTCAATCTTAGAAGGTGCTAAATTGAAATTAATGATAGCAATTGTTTAGCGAAAGTTTTGTTATTTGTTTGATGATCATTTTCACAAATTGACTCTTCAAAAAAACATTCTTCAAAAAGAAAACAAATAACTTTTTTGAATATTGACTAATTTTTGTGATGCTTTTTTCTCTAACATGTAGGTTTACTTCATTATATATGTAAATAAACTTTTATTCAATTTTTAAACTCTTTTTTGTTATCTGATAAACTCTTTTTTGTTATCTGGATAAACATAGACGTGTACCCTATATATTACATTTATTTTAAAAAAATTCGTTTTATTCAACTATAGCTATAGTATTTTAAAGAACTATAATTATAGGATTTTAAATGTGAAAGAGTTTTATAGTTATATGGAGTAGTTTTTTTTTTCTTTTTTGCCAGAGGCGAAGTAGTATTTAAAAAATTAGAAAAGATAACAAAAGTTCCTAGCATGATTGCATATGATCATTAACCGAATTAAGTATGATAGCATGATAAATTGTATCCAAATATAGAAATGTATCATTCTTTTTGGAACGAGCTAATAAGAAAAGTGTGTCATTTAAATTAAAATGGATGGAGTATTTTTATTTCATGAAAAAAGAAAAATACTAAGCTTTAAATTCTCTAATGTTTAATCAAATGATCTTTGGAGATCTGTGAAAAAAGAAGATTCGTCTGTACTTACAATTGTTAAATCACATTCTCGATGGGTTATGTTATGAATCCATTGTCGTATATAGAAATTAGAAACAAGCCTAAACAAACTTAAAAATGTTACGATAATTTAAATTAAGGAAACTATCAGCTATGTCCAATTATAAGTAGCTCATTATAAAAATTGGCCAATTTATAAAATATTACTAATATTAGCCAATTAGCTATTTGTAGCAAAAAAAGATCAAATTTTATTTTCTTTTGAGTGAGTATTATTAGAATAGATTGGGTACATCTTATGGAGCTTGAATCTCAGTTTTGGGATGATTTGGTGGAGTTTTGAGCTAGTTTGAATTGAAAATTCGAAGTAAAAAATGAACATGAAAAAAAAAAATGTGTATCACACTGTGTATCACATATGTATCATATTTGTATCAATTGTGTATCACATGTATATCCATGTATATCTGTGTGTGAGATACATGCGTGATACGTGTTTGATACATGTGTCGTTGAAGGATTTTTTGAACTCGATTTAATTACGAATTTTGATACCAAACCAGTCCAAATCACCTCCAATCTTCCTCAAAATTTGTATATTGACTTATCTTTATGTTTTCAATGAATTTCAACTATACTCATTGAACAAGGTCCCTTTTTGCTTAGATTTTTGGAATATTGTATATATATATTTTTTGTATTTCATCACCTTATTTACTACCTCATCCATGAAATTTCCTTTCCGTTTTACATCTAATGTTGCTAATCACGCTTTAAAATATGGAAGGAGATTTTTGCGTGTGATTCTTTGAGAGAAAGAACCTTATTTATTTGATTTTTTAATTTTTATGTGTTTGGCTAGTTTTGGTAAGTCTATGACTAATGGTTAGAGGTTGGTAAGTTGAGACTTATTTGGGACATTTCTTTAAGTTTCCCTTTAAATTAATCTAGCCCCTCAAGACTTCGGTACCCAACTTGTGACTATGGATTAAGCGTTGTCATGAATTCGAACTCTATCACAAACAAAGGTTCTCAACTCGATAGGTTCAATATTTTAAGTTCTCACACTTAACTTGTTGTACTTTTGATATTTTAATATTACAATTTAATACTTATTAAAATTTTAGTTATTTTTTACACGCATACACATACATAAATGTCCTGATCAACAATATTGATTTGGATTGTATCCCTCGTACAGACCCCTGCCTATCATAGCTCATAATCACGAGTTAAGGCCAGACGCTGCGAAGTTAGTCATTTGCCTGAGAATTGTTTCCACATAAATTGTTTAAAAACTTAACTTGCATAATTGCTGTTAACCCAGTGGGAGAAATAACTAACAAGAGCGTGAATTACAACACTTGGCGTGATATCAAGTAAGCTTTCATTTACCAAGTATTAGAACAAGATATGACAAGGCCATTTTTTTTGTTAGTTAAAATTCTTGTAATGTCCCCAATATTTTCTCTAGTTTGATAATCGGGACTTAATGTTCACAAACTTGTACTTATTTGCCCTAATGTTCCAAAATTGAACAAACTTTCATTGAATGCTTTGGTGGACGGAATTACCTCGGCAACTTATGTTGGCAAGCTTAGACAAGTTGTTCGTTGGATTAGTTTGGGTATACTAGACACCATATCAATATTAATAAGAAGAAGAAAAAAAGGATTACAAAAGCAATAAAGGATGTTATTTATGATGCCAGAGCAAGAAAAAGTTTTTATGGGCTAAGATAAAGTAGCGCTAGCTGCAGGGTTTTAGGCTCCTCCCAACGGAAGCAAAATCATCAATTCATGAGATAACATCACTGGAAAGAACAGCAGATAACAATACACTCACTAGGATACAACATGGAACTGCCAAAGAGACCAGCAATGGTAGATATGTACTAGAAATTACATGTACCTTTGTGGGATAGAACTTCTTATTACATATCAGAAAATTAATGAAGTTATAGACATATCAAACTTGCAATGGACAACAACAACCCAGTAAAATCACACAAGTGGGTATGGGGAGGGTAGGGTAGACCTTACCCCTACCCTGGAGGAGTAGGTATGTTGTTTTCGAAAGACTCTTGACTCAAGAAGACGAAAATAGACAATAGACACGTAACAACAATAGAAGCCAGAAAAATAATATCAGCTACGTAAGAAACAAAAATAATATCAGCAACGTAAGAAACATAAAATAGATGGACAAGCAATAACAATAACCGGTAATAATGCCGCAATACTATAACAAAACAAAAAAACGGAAAAATAGTGAGGATACAACATAAACCACTAGCAGTCCAAGACAAAACACTAATAGACTAGCCTCACTCCCGATACAAAGAAGGAAAAACGCTCGATTACCTCCTAACCTTCAACTCTAATGCTCCACACTTTCCTATCAAAAGCCACGTCCTCGGAAATCTGAAGCCGCGTCACGTCCTGCCTGATCACCTCACCCCAATACAAGCTTGCAATGGACTCTTGCTAAGAAATTTCAAAAAATACTACTACAAGGGTTCAGTTAGCGCTTCTCTTTTTTTGGCCCTTAAACATGAACTTTAGAAGAAACTTCCTTCTTCAGAATTGAAGGATCAAAGTGAAAGAACTAAACAACTGCTAAGATATCCTGTTGTACGCCATAAATAAGCATCTAGTTTCTAACTTCTGCTTCATTTTTCTTGTCGTTTTTTTTTTTGGGGGAGGGGGGGATAAGGTTAACTTCTGCTTCATTTGTTTGCTTCATTTGTAAATCACAGGCACATGTAAACAAAGGGCACCTTAATGACAACAACAGAACACATCACAAGTACAATAATAATAACTCAGTGTAATAACTCAGTGTAATCCCACAAGTGGGGTCTGGGGAGGATAGGATGTACGCAGCCTTACCCTTACCCTGGAAGGGAGATAGACCCTCAGCTAAATAAAAGATAGAGCACATCACAAGTAAATCTAAAATTTATTGTTTTGCACAAAATATCATTGTCCAAGCCTGCATATATATTATTTGATTCAATGACAAATGCACACAAAAACATCCATTTCCTCTGTTTGATTCACTAAACCTTGTTGGGAAAATACTCAAACCTACAATCTTCTAACAAAGAAATTATGAGTGACAATCTAAATACCAACTTTCGCATTTTAGCAAATTCTTGTTGAATCCTAAACCATTATGGTCAAGATAGTTTTCCTGCGGAAACAAATCAACCTTTTTTATGATGGCAGTGTCCGAACTTACTTACGCGCACCTCAACTATTCTACGACACATATATATGTTACCTTCCATCAGCACAAGTACCGATAAACGTGAAGAATGGCACCTCCGCCCTACTAAAGAAGTTCGCAAGCAAGGGACATGCCGAACACATACCTTTACAACTAAGTCCAAGGCGAGGACCCTTTAATTGACGATGCGTTTCGTCGTCAGCAAGTGGTGGCCAACAAGGCATTTTTTGTAAGACCCGCATAGAAATATGCCACCAATGTGAGTAAAGCCAAAGCAACGGTAGCATTTATATCATTCGTGCGTGCGGCTAACTTCCCATGAGTTAATTGTATGGATTTCCAAGGTAAAAGAGCTCCTGACAACTCTACCACCATGGCTTAGGCAAGACAGATAAGAAAAAATCACCTTGTTTAAAAACTCAACTTTTAACTGAAAGCCTTGCACAAACAACTTCCCTTCAGCTACTCATGGAACTTCACTTTCAATAATTTACTATACTATTTAGCTCAACAATTTAACATCCACATTAACACCAAGCTAAAGACATACAACAGTACAAGCGAAGTTTATTCCAAGTTCAATTGATTTACTATTCTATGTAACACTGACGATTACAAAACACATGATTACATGAACAAAAAACCCAAACATGAAACCCTAAATCATTAATCAAGAAGTAAAAGTCAAATTTACCCTTCTTTGCTTTCAAATTACCTTTTTTCCTATACAATTTTACTCCTGCTAACCACTGCTAGGGTTTTAACTTGCTGTTCGCTGTAACGGCGCTTGAGGTAACATTCGAGGATCTCCATAACGCAAACGAACCGCTTCATCTCCTCTAATTGGCGGCTCAGCTCGACTTCTCGAGCCCTGGCTCGCTCAAGTCGCGCCTCCGTCTCGGCTAACCGGTCTCGGAGGTTATTGACTACTACGGTATTCTCGTTCGCCGCCGGTGTAGTTCGGGTCCGGGTCGGGTTGGTTAAGGCGTCTTTTGACGGGAATTTTTGACTGCCGTAGCACATTTTTTTCGAGGGAAATTTGGAGTAGTTGTGTCAATGCTAATGATTTGGAACCTTTTTTGGTAGAAGGGGAATGAGAATATTAGGAAAGGTGTAGAGAATCAACGGTGATTATCTCTTGCTTAATTTAGACCCTCTGATCTTAGCAAACACTAAAAGTAAAAAAAATTTACTCACCTAAGTTTACGCCAAATATATCAATTATTTAAGTGATATAACAAGCAACAATAACAACAACAACAACCCAGTAGAATCTCACTAATTGAGTCTGGGGAGGGTAGTGTATACGCAGACCTTACTCCTACCCCAAAAGAGTAGAGAGGTTGTTTCCGAAAGACCCTCGGCTCAAGAAAACAAAAAGATAAAACGACAAGAGAAGACAACATTAGTATCACCACAACAATTATCGAAAAAATAAGAACACCATGAAATGCAGAAGAAAGATGCAAAGCAAAAACGATAGCTAGTAAATAGGACATGCACTGAAAAGCGAAGTAGTACAATACAACATTGTCACTAGCTACCCTAGACAAAAACCCTACGTGACCAGTCCTACAATGGTACAAAGTAAGTCAAGACTCAACTACATCCTAACCTACAACTCTAATACTCGACCTCCACATCTTCCTATCAAGTGTCATGTCCTCGGAAATCTGGAGTCTCGCCATATCCTGTCTGATCACCTCTCCCCAATACTTCTTAGGCCGCCCTCTACCTCTTCTAGTGCCTTCCACAACTAGCCGCTCACACCTCCGTACCATAGCATCTGGGCTTCTCCTTTGAACATGTTCGAACCATCTAAGCCTCGCTTCCCGCATCTTGTCATCAATGGGAGCCACGTGTACCTTCTCCTGAGTAACATCATTCCTAATCTTATCTATCCTAGTGTGCTCGTACATCCACCTCAACATCCTCATTTCTGCTACTTTCATCTTCTGGATATGTGAGTTCTTAATGGGCCAACATTCAGCCTCATACAACATGGCTGGTCTAACCACCGCTTTATAGAACTTGCCTTTGAGTATTTGTGGCACTCTCTTGTCACACAGGACTCCAGATGCTAACCTCCACTTCATCCATCCTACCCCAATACGGTGTGTGACATCCTCGTCGATCTCCCCTGATATAATAAGGTAAAAATATATACTATTATTAACATAGTAAGCTCTCGTTTGGCCATAGATTTTAGCTATTGTTTTTCAATTTTTTTTAAAAATAGTGTTTGTTCATGAAATATGATCAGATTTTGAAAAGAAAAAAAATCACTTTTCCAAAAACTAGGTTCGGGCAATTTTGGGGGATTTTTTTCTTCCACTCACAAAACTTCAACTTATTTCAAATAAAATGCATGTTCAAACGTAATTTCAACTTCCAATTTTTTTTTTCTATACAACTTCCAATTTTTTTTTCAAGTTTCAACCAAATCTGTATTCAAACACTAACTAAGTAAAAATTTACGTTCAAATACATGCCATGCATCTATTTGATTTTAAATATCGGTACAAATAAGTTTTTTATATCTTCCCCGGTATCCGGTGCTCTCTTTGGGATTTGACTAACTCTGATTCATGTCGGAGAGTTCCACTTTAGAGGGGAAAAGCTTTCTACGCAAATTTGACTCAATTTTCAGGATTCGGAATACCTCTAGTTGGAAAAGCTTTCTACGCAAATTTGACTCAATTCTCAGGATTCGGAATACCTCTAGTTAATGATGAATGAGTGCTTACCAAAATTACGAATAGAAAAATGTATCTTTATTTCATGAGAAAAGAAAAATATAGAACTTTAAATTCTCTAATGTTTAATGAAATGATCTTTAGAGATCCGTGAAAAAAAAAGATTCGTCCGTACTTAAAATTGTTAAATTCTCAATGGGTTATGTTAGGAATCCATTGTTGTATATAGAAAATAGAAAATAGAAAACAAGCCTAACTTAAAAATGTTAAGATAGTCTAAATTAATCTAACCCCAAGACTTTGGCCTAGTGGTAAAACCCATGATCGTGGATTAAGCGCTGTCATGAATTCGAATTCTACGTTGGTTGATAGAGTTATTCGGTACCTATGTTGGCTGGAGGTAATAAATACCCCGTGAAACGAGTTGAGGAGTACGTATTACTGGCTGAACACTACGGTTATAAAAAAATAGAGACAATAGAGTCATATATTAATTATTAAGAAAGCGTATTAGATGAATATGTTAGTGATTAGGAATGGAAAATTAGTCTTTAGTATACAATAAATTAATTACTAATCTGAATAAGAAGCTTATTTGAATAAGAAACTTGCATCTTAATCAAGAATTTTAGATAGTTTTTCAACTAGATTGACATTGTTTTTACAGCATAGCATTCTAATTAGTTACAGCTTTTTAATTCTTGGTCCTGTAATTGTTGTTTGATTTACAGAGTATATATTTATCATTTTTTTCATCTGCCCCTTAATGTTGTATACTTGTATGCTTCAATCAAAGCATGAACCTTTATTCAAAATCTAGTAATCTTTACTTAAGGGTGGCAAATGGGCGGGTTGGGTTGAATTTGAGCGGGTCAAAATGGGCTGAAACAATAAATGGATCATTGTTCAACTCTGCCTAAAGTTTACTTTGGCTAAGATGTGTTGGGTCAGGATGGGCTAAACAATGGGTCATAACCCAACCCGCCCAATTTGAACCATCTTTTGCATATTTTTGAGAAACTTAAAATATCAAGTTGCTCTTCTTTAATTGCAAATGTTTTTACTCATGCTTTTCCAAATAGAGTTAATTTGTTGTGCTTTCTGGATATAAAAGAAAAACTCAAATGTGATTCAAAGTAATAAAGATATTCACGGTAAGCATTTCCTCATAAATTTACTACACTTGTAATTCTTTTTCTGTTTCCTTCATCAATTGGCATAAATAGATTTGGTTGCTTCTTTATATATCTCAGTTAGAATTGTACTTTAATTTTTTATTTAGAAGTTAAGAATATTGAATTTATAATTACAAATAAAACTCAATGTATTTAATTGGCCGGTTAGTGAAATTTAATTACAAATAGAATTTTATACATAGGAAGCACAAACCTATTTTAGGCAAAACTTTTAGAATTTGCTAAGAAACTACTAGTATGTTATAAAATAGTTTGGGCCATTTTTACCGGCCCTAATCTTACCAAAGATTAGAGCTGATGATTAATGTTTCATTCCAATTCAAGCAAAGAATACATCAATAGTTCCAAAATCAATATGAAAAAAGTAACTCGTCAAACTTAATGTGCCATAATGTCCCATTCCAGAAATGCAATAATCATAAAATGATAGTAATAAAAAATAAGCCGTAATTGATTGAGTGATCGACTTTAAAAATGTGGAATAGGAGGACTTTTTACCTAATTCAAATAAAGAACAATTTGAAATGTGGAAGAAGAATGTAGAGAGAGAAACACCGGCGATCGTTGAGCAAGGTAGCTAGCTTCGTCGATCAGAATGGTTCACCGTAATAATCTTCATCTCCCTACACAATCACCTCTTCCAATTGACACTATGACTAGATTGATTACACCGAAAAGTGGTATCCCCTAGAAATTAGCCCCAATGCAACGGTTACATTGTTGCCAGGCATGGGGAGTGCCCCTACTATCATGCAAGCACCACCGGAAAAGGAGAAGGATGAATCGCAAGTAATGGAACCAGGAATGCTTACAACGGCGCAGAAATTAACCTACTCAGCTGGGTCTAAAAGTACAAAGCAGACCATGGCAGAGGTAGTGAAAGGCAACAGAGCTCAAATACAAGGCATGCAACTGAAGTTCTACCCTCTAGTAGTGAAGGATGGAGTGAAAATGGCCAAGTTAAACCCAAAGGAGTTAGAACAGCAATGCCACCGATGGAAAACAACTTTGATTGGATACGTTCTAGGGAAAATCCGTCGTTCAAGGAGATGCTCAAATTCGTCTATGGCATTTGGAATCTAGTCGCGACACCTACGGTCCTTCTGCATGACGACGGGTATTTCATTTTTAGATTTGAATCTGTGGAGGACAAAAACTTAATTGTGCTAATGGCCCTTATACTTTCAATAGCAGACCTATGGTATTGAAGAATTGGGATCTGGATTTTCAGATTCAAAATGAATCTATGAGGATAGTTCCTGTATGGGTCAATTTACCTGGGTTGCCTGTTCAGTATTGGGCTGAGGAAAACCTAGATAGGATTGCTAGTCTGTTTGGCAAATCTATTTGCACTGATAAGCTGACAGCAGAGTGTGAAAGGATTTTATATGCTAGAATACTTGATGAAATGGACATCACACATCTATTACTAGAGGAAATTCTCATAGAAAAGTCAGATGGGAGGAGCTGGATGCAAAGAGTAGATTTTGAATGGAAACCAAAGTTTTGCTTGGATTGCAACAAATTTGGTCATAGTACTGGTGAGTGTCAACAAGCAACACAGCAAGATGAGGAACCAAAACAGCATAAAAGAAGAAGAAAGAAGAGAACAAAAAATGGAATGGAAACCTAAAGCAACAGATGCAGGAAACAATAGCACGCTGATTCTGCCTCAAGAGGAACCTATACAACATGAGACAGTAGTAGAGATACAGGTGACTAATAGAGGCAAACAGGCAGTGGTTACTCAAGGATCAGCTGGCAAAACAAAGCATCAGGAGATCAATTATGAGGAACTAGCTAGAAGAAATGCATTTGCTCCCCTAACAATACTGGAAAGGCCATCAAATGAAAGACAGCAGGGGCACTCCTCTAGTAATGAAGAAGTCCAAAGGGCAAATGGGTGCAATCCCATTAATCATAATCCTCCATGATTGTTGTGTCTTGGAATATAAGAGGACTAAATAAGTCCTATAAGCAACGAGAATTCAAAAAGTTTTTGTTGACGAATAAGGTAGATATGATAGCTTGTCTAGAGACTAGAGTTAAACAACAAAGATCAAAGGCAATTCAGAGGAAGATGGGTGCTGATTGGCAATTCAAAGATAACTATGCTTATGCACCTAATGGTAGAATCTGGATAGGGTGGAAAGTAGCAAATGTTCAAGTAACAATACTAGATGGCTCAGATCAGATGATACACTGCCTAGTTAAGGATAAGAATTCATCCTTTACCAGCTACATAACCTTTGTATATGGATTACATACTGTGCAACACAGAATTCCACTCTGGAGAAGCTTGAGGAATATGCAAAGTAATGGACCTTGGCTTATAATAAGAGATTTTAATAGTGTGCTACATGTGGAGGACAGAGTGAATGGAATTCCAGTTCATCAAATATAAATGACTGACTTTCAAAGCTGTCTTGATGATATTGGAGTGGGACAAATCACAAAAAGAGGATGCAGATTCTCATGAAGCAATAAGAAGGATGCAGAGATTAGAATTTATATTCATATAGACTGGGCTTTTGGGATGCTGATTGGTTCAATGAGTATAATGGGGTGGAGGCCATCTACATGCTACCAGGTTGCTCAGATCACACTCTTATAATGATAAATACTAATGTTGATAAGATAAAAGTGAAAAGGCCTATTAGGTTACTATCTACAGTGATGCAACTACAAGAGTATAAAGAAGTAGTTCAGGCTACTTGGAGTCAACAGATTCAAGGTCATACAATGTATTCAATTTGGAGGAAGTTGAAGTTAGTAGAGCTACAAACTAGAGGCCTTCAGCAGGAACACTCCTCAGTTGATCAAAAGCTAATCTAACTGAGATACACATTGAAGGAGGTGCAGGGGAAGCTCAATGAAGATTATTTCAACAATTTACTGATTGAAGAGGAAAGGAAGACCTTGTCACTTATAGAGAAATGGGAAGCAATTCAGGAACAAATAATGAGGCAGAAGTCAAGGGCTACATGGATCAAACTAGGAGACTGCAACACTAAATACTTTCATGCTTATATGAGAGCTAGACAAGCAAGAAACAAGGTTAGCTGTATCTATAATGAACAACATATAAAGATCACTGAGCCTAAGCAGATACAAAAGGAATTTACTCAGTTCTTTCAACAACTACTGGGTAAAGCAGCAGATGAATTGCCAGGAATTAATGTTAATATAGCAAGAAATGGTCCTTGTCTAACTCTAAATCAGCAACAACAAGAGGAAATAAGTCAGATTGTGCAAAGTCTCCCTAGTGACAAGGCACCTGGTATTGATGGATACCCTGCTGAATTCTTTAAAGAATTTTGGCTAATCATTGGAAGGGAAGTCATAAAAGCAGTACAAAAATTCTTTGAAACTGGCAGACTACTGAAAGAAATTAACTGCACTACAGTTACTTTGATCCCGAAAGTTCAGAATCCTACTTATGTGAAGGAGTTTAGGCATATTGCTTGTTGTTCTACACTGTACAAGATCATTGTTAAGGTACTTACAACTAGGCTTAAACTAGTTGTGGATTTATTGGTAGGACCTTCACAATCTACCTTCATAGAAGGGAGAAACATCCTTGACAATGTTATAATGGCTCATGAACTGATTAAAGGGTACACTCAAAAGGTAGTTTCTCCTAGATGCATGATTAAGGTGGATATCAGAAAAGCATATGACTCAGTCGAATGGAGTTTCTTGAGATCAATACTGCTTGAGTTTGGGATACCATATAAGATGGTAACATTAATCATGGAGTGTGTAACTACTGTTAGTTATACATTACTATTGAATGATGGACTAACTGACAAATTTGAAGCAAGGAAGGGGCTAAGGCAAGGAGACTCAATGTCTCCATATTTGTTTGTGCTGGCAATGGAGTACCTGAACAGATCTTTGAAGACACTCATTCAGAATCCAGACTTTAACTTCCATCCTAAATGTGCAAGATTACAAGTCCTACACATTTGCTTTGCAGATGATCTACTGATGTATTGTAGAGCAGATGAAGTATCCATGAAGCTAATGATGGGAGCTTTTGATCACTTTTCTACTGTTTCTGGGCTACAAGCAAATCTGGAAAAGAGTTCACTATATATAGCAGGAGTGCCTATGGACTTCAAAGATAAAATGCTAGTAGAGTTACATTTAACAGTAGGCAATCTACCATTTAAGTACTTGGGAGTTCCTCTATCCACAAGAAAACTCACTATTCATCAATGCATGTCACTAATTGAGAAGATTGTGGATAGGATCAGAAGCTGGACATCAAAGTTCCTGTCCTATGCTGGAAGATTACAACTCATTAAGAGTGTCCTGTTTGAAATGCAGACCTATTGGGCACAGGTATTCCTTATCCCAAAGAAAGTTATTAAGCTTGTCAATAGTATCTGCAGGAGCTATTTGTGGACTGGAAGACATGATAATGCTCACAGAGCTCCTATTGCTTGGGAAACACTGTGCAAACCAAGAGCTGTTGGGGGTCTGAATATTATCAACTATGAGATATGGAATAAGGCTGCTTTGACTAAACTCCTATGGGCTATAATGGCAAAGAAGGATAAGCTATGGATTAGATGGATCCACTGTTATTATATAAAACAGAAGGATATTACTACCATGGATACTCCAAAGCAGGCTAGTTGGTTGATAAGAAAACTATTCACTGCGAGAGAATGGTGGGCTACTGACTTAACAGTCATAGAGTCTTTTGCTCTGAATGGAAAATTTAGTATTAAGAAGGCCTATCTACATGCTCTTCCAATGTATCCTAAAGTTCAATAGAAATCACTAGTCATGTTGACTGGAATTCTGCCAAAGTATCAATTCATTTTATGGATGGCAATACAAAGAAGGCTGGCTACTGTTGACAGATTGGCAAAGTGGGAAATTCAGGTGTCTCAATCATGTGTATTATGTGAAAGAGATATAGAAGAAACACATGATCACTTATTTTTTAAATGTCCATACTCACAAAGCTTATGGAAAGGAATGCTAGGATGGCTAAGATATCAAAGAAGTGTTGCAAACTGGGAAGCTGGGGTGAAGTGGTTATCTGTTAATGCTAACAATAGGAACCCAAGAAAGACAATCCTAGGAGTGGTGTTTGCAGCAGCAGTATACCATATCTGGATGAAACGCAATGATAGAAGATTTCAGAACCAGAAAAGAGAGGCCAAAGACAGAGCTAAAGACATTCCCATACAAGTGCACATAACAGGGCAACAGAAATGTAAATGGAAACCTGTATTGATCACATTGAATGATTATCCTAATTTTAAACCATAGCAAATAGGATAGAGAAGATCCACGATTGTTAGTAGTGGTCTTGTTAGACAACCTCTTGGTTGTATAGCTTCTTGTTTTATTGGCTTAGTCATGAGACCTGTTACTGGAGTCCAAAAGTGCAGGTGATGTAAATCGAAAAACTGGTTGAAATAAAAAAAAATTTTCGACCAAAAAATAAAAATGTGGAATAGTTGGGAGTAGGAAGAAGAATGAGGGACAAAGAATTTTAAAAATAATATGTACGAATATATTATAAAAATAATAAATAATATAATAAAAGTTATTTTAATTATAAGTAAAATATCCATGTAAAAATATAATATATAGTAAGTATAGAAGATATTACATAAATAAGAGGATTTATAATGTCAAGGGCATAATAGACTTTTTTCGTGAAAGTTTTGTAAAATTTAGTCTAAGTGACTATTGTGATAAGTAGAGCATAGTAAAATAATTTTTGTGTAACAAAAGAAAGAAAAATGATTTTTGAGTAATAAACACAAATTTCAATGATTTTTACGTAATAAAAAAAATGACTTTTGCATAATAAACACAAAATTGAAAATGTTGGTTAGGGACTTAGGGGGAAATGATGAAGTTGACCATGGAATATTAGGAGACTTCGTGCCCGACAGAGGCAAAACTAGCTTATTAGGTGCGTTACCTGAATCAAATCACCTTTGCTTAAACTTCAAATTTTAACTCTACCTCTAATATCATAAAACAGAAAAAAGAGAAAAGTAATCAAAAGGTGTATATATTTAACAAGTTTGTCCAAAGCTTTATGCCTTTCTTTTTGACTATCTTGTATTTGATACGACGGACTTGGATAATATTGTCTTGGTAGTTCGAGGGCCATTTGAGATTTTGAGATCAGGAATAGTTTAATTATTTAATTGGTATTTTTTCCATGAGCCAATCAAGAAAGCAACAAGCAACTTCCACAAAGTCATCGTCAAAGGATGTGGTGAAGCGGATGAGATATGTGATTGCTCTTCTTTTAACGAGATGTCTTGGGTTCGAGCTATGAGTGTAAAAAAATTCTTGGTATGAAGCGCTTTCTTTCGAATGGGATTCTATGCAATGCGAATCCGATTATAATTGGGCTCCAAGGAGAATACCGACACTGTATGTGAAACCAAAAAATAATTCCACAAAGTCTGAGCACCTTACAAGATGGTTCAAAGAAATTACTTCAATGACGTCCAAGACTCAAATTAAAGTCGTTGTCTGTGTGATTGACATGACATTTTGTCCAATCTACCTTACTCTATATAAAAAGATCTAGTAACACATACACACAATGACACAAACTACACCACAAAATCCTCACTTTAGTCTTCAAATTAAAATCTCTTCCTCTCTTCCATTTTATGTATACATCAATGAGAATGGATCATTATGGAAGTTCTAAAAGAAGAAGAGCCCCTCCTCCTCCTACGACAAATTCTACACCGTTTATATTATTTTGTGTCCAAACTCTCTTAATCCTCTTCAACACATTTGGAGTAATATACAGAGCATATAGTAATAGCCAATACTCTTTCTTGAGTTTCATCTTCTTCGTATATTTCAGTTACTTCTTGGCTAATTACTTATCGTCTATATATCAAAGCCAGAAAAACTCATTGGAAAAGAAATTGTTGGGACTTGGTATATGGTTCTTGATTTCTTCCATTATTTTTGGG